ACCCTCTAATTAACTAATCCCTTCACCATTCACCCCGGTGAAATCCTCCTATCCTCATACAGGTGTCGTCTCCTGTGTAGGATCAAAGTCCAGCCACCAGACACTTCTGGCAACATTCCAGGACTCCCGAGCCCCCCAAGGGTGGTCTCGGTGACTTGGCACCTCAGTCCTGAGGTGCTGAGATCCCACAGTACAGCAGAGACTTTCTGCCACTGACACAGGCTGAGCATTTAAGTGCAAGTACAAGTCAAATATTCAGTTCTTCTGCAACAATTTTTCAATCTTCGGTGTATGAAAATACATATATTTCATGGACAAAGAAAATAATTTTATATTTTTGACTCTACACTGAACAGAGAAACATATATAACGTAGACATTTAAAATTTCATACACTATCTTTGTCTTTTTTCTTTTCATGTAAAAGCCATTTAAATGTCATGTTCTTCGCTCGTACTGTTATTACAGTAGTCTTCACGAAAACAGACAAACAAGAAAATGCTTCCCTCAATGTTTCTGAAGGGAAACAGGGAAAAGAATGAGGGAAAAGAATTGAGGGAAAAGAATGCCCACCCCGTTACAGAACGTTCTCCTTGAAGGCACCTCTTATTAAACTTTTGGCTTGAAACATTTGTCTCCTCACTTTTTCAGAATGACTTGTGCAGCACTTGTTTAACAGAGTTATGAGAAACTGAGACATAGAAATAGTTCCCTACTATAAAGTTAGTGGGTCAAGCTGACCCATCTGTAAAATAAACACTTCCATGGGATGGCTGGAAGCTGTGAGAAAAAAAATTAAACTTGAGCTAAGCTGGCAAGGCCTCTGCTCACAGTGTGTTGCTGATATGAAGAGTCCTGCCTTGCATGCCCCTGGTACACAAGGAAGAGTGAGACAACTTTAAAGGGAGCACACTTCTGTAAGATGATGCTTGTAAGAAGAGTTTAGAATGAGGATTAATGTTAGATTTAGATGGGTAGACTAAGATTAAATATTTTGCCTCCATTCTTCTTTTCTTGAAGTAATGAGTCCTGGTATACAGTGATGCTCTGAACTGCTGCAGTCCTTTGTGCGTCCTCAGAACTGACCAAACAAAAACTGACAAAAATGAAATCAGCAAATCAGCCTTTACAAAATATTAACACAATTTTTAGGCAGAAATGAAAAAATGAAAGAAGAGGGCATTAAGAAATAAAATATATGTGGAAGAATCAAATGAGGGAATGGTAGTGTATTCTTGAGGTGCTGGAAAGAGCAGAAGCAAGGTGTTTTATGACTTTTTAGGGGTTCTACCTGGAGAAATTCTAACTCTGTTTCACTTTTTATAGTTCCAGTTATGTTGGCTCACCACTATGAGCAACAATGGGGACTTCTGCTGCCTGGTTTCATTAATACTGAGTTGCCTCTGAGGCTTTCACAGACCATTTGTCACTTAAAAACTAAACATGTTCCAGAATGAAGCTACCATATTTGCATTCAAGAAACCCCCAAACCAAACCCAAAAACCAGCCAGTTATCCTCTGCATGAGCAACATGTCTGACGAAGTGAAGAGAGACGACCACATCCTAATTTATCAGCATCGAACTCCGATTTATTGATCCAGTTTACACACTTTTATAGTAGTGTTAATTAAGCTCATACATATTGCAAAACCTGAGCTCATCATTGGTTACAGATTACACACCAACCCCTCCTTTACTGTCAATACCTGTGGTTTCTTGTTGAGGCTAATACTTGTTTTTCTCATCCTGTTGTTGACTTGTTATTTACCATTCTCAAGGCCTCCATGTTTTCTACCATGCCTTTCTCATCACTTACTCAAGGACGTGGTGTTTATTGTTGTTAAGGGAAAAGCCTGAGAACTTGCTGCTTACAGCTGCCTTTTACTTTTTAACCAGCTGTATGTGATCATGGCCTCTCTATAAGCCATGTCTGATCAAAACTCTGCAACACATGCCTGAGTAGTTTTCAGAGTTTATGGTTGAAGAATGTACATATTTTATCCAAATTTTATCCATATCAAGAAGCACACCTGGCCAAGAGGCTAACTGAAGCAAGTAGCTACCAGGACACAGGCCTGTGTGACATTGTGCTGCCCTGCAAGAGCTTTCTTCCAGAGGCCAAAGAAGCATCAGGGTTGTCTTTTTATTCAATTAACTACCTACTTAAGGGTTGCAGCAAGATTGATTATCTCATTTCTGCTAAGTCCTCTGAAAGTCCTTAAATGCACAGGAAGTGTCACTTCATCATCAAACTCCACTAGGTAAGTTGTGATCTCCTGCATATCTATAATTTGAAGACATGCTTTAAGGTCCTAGTGCAAAATAGAAGTGGAGATGTATAGATAGTAGAGCACTTTCCAGAGATGTGTTGTTATTTCTTTTCAGAATGAAAGACATTCCCACCTGTCTAAACCCCAAGACACAAATGTAAGCAAAAGAAGATACTTTAGCATCAATTTGTAAAATACATTTCCTAAAAAATCTCCAATGCCATGGGAGCTTTCAAACTACATTTTAACGAAATAATTTTTCTTGAAGCTAAAGATATTCCAGTCTCCTATGATGAAAAACAGAGGCAGATCAGGCAAGGTTTCTGAATGCAGATGCATTTAAATTCTGGGAAAACTTTACTGAGGCACTCAAATTTTTGAGGAGTTCTCATCAATTTAATGGGCGTGTCAGTATAAAAAACAATTAATAATAATGGAGTACTAAATTATGTAAATGCTTCATATATTTAATTTTAGAGCTTAAAACCTACATATTTTAACTCCAGAATATTTATAAACTTATCCATGGGCACTTAGGTTTGGAAAATAAATTGCTTAGAATCTCAAGATCACAGGAAACAATGGGAGATTTACTGTAAAAAAATACAGAGCCGAGTAAACTTCCAGAAAGTATTTCTCATCCTTTCATTGTCTCCAACAGAATGTGTCTCAGAAGAATGAGACAATTTTGTTTTGGTGAAGCGTGTGGAGCACACAGTACAGGAAGTCTTGATAAGTGTACATGGCATACACAAGTATAATTTGTTTTCTTACTCTGGGTTTGAAGTTCATTGAGAACTGCTGAAAATTCTGCCCTGGTCCCAAGTGAATAGAGTTGAGTGCCAAGTTACCTGGGTGTCCAGACAGTTCTGCCAGTTTGTATTTTGCACAAAAAGTCCACAGCTTTGCTGCACAGCATGATAGGTAAAGACAGGCAGGAAAAAATAATGACAGCACACCCTGTGTGACTGTTTGCCCTGCAATTATCACCCTTGCTCCTTGTGACAGCAGAACTGGTAGTTAGTTCATTGCCCCAGTTCAGCCCCTCTCCTCTTAAAATATCCTTGGGTGTTGCACATCTAACCAGGTTAGCTATGGGCCCCTGTGCATCTTTTGAAGCAGGGACTTCTGCTTGATTTTATGCTTTACCAAAGCCAAATTGCGTTTCAGGTGATTCATACAACTCAGTAACTGTCATCAGTATTCTAAATCTCATAAGCAGCAAGCAAACAAGCCATAATGCTGCAGAGGTATTGGCAGCCTCAAAAGACGAGTAGCAACTTCTCCTCCCCACACGACTGTTCCTGAGATCCCAGCATATGCTCAGGTGATGTCTGGGCTCTCAGACACTGAGGGTCAGAGCTGTGGGGAAGTCACCAGAAGTGGGTTCTGATGCACTAGCATGAAGTAAGCAGGTATCCCACTTGAGCTTTTATGATTTATACATTGGAGTACTGGAAGTATTTCATTCCTTCACCCCATTTTTTCCCAGCTGCTGTTGAGGCCATGGCAATGACTTTTTTTTTTTTTT